AATTTTGGGGTGTTATATGATGAGTTGATTAGGGATAGGATAGTTGTTGGAGTAAGAGATAGAGCGTTGTCTGAAAAAATGCAACTTGATACAGACTTGACCTTAGTGAAAGCCACACAGATGGCAAAACAATTAGAAAGTGTCAAAGAACAGCAGTCTAGCCTTTACCAACAAAATTTTGTAGATCAAATAAAGAAAATGCCTAATTACATAAAAGAAACCAAAAAGCAAGAGTCAAATATAAGACAATTTAAGTCAAACCAGTCAGGAAGATCATCACATGGATGCACCAGGTGTGGCAATTCAAATAATCATGATTGGAAAATTGCCCAGCCATGAACTCGTATTGTAATAAATGCAAGAGGAATGGTCATTATACCAAGTTTGCAGATCAGTAGCCATAAATGAAGTAAAATCAAAGAAAACTTTTCTGGGATCTGTAAAAATTGAATCGTCTAAGAAATGGGTAGTACCAATTAAGGTAAACAATTGACAAATTAATTTTAAAATTGACACGGGAGCTGATGTCAACGTGCTCCCCTTTCAACAATATTGTCAAAGTTTCCAAAGAATAAAATTAGAAAAATCGGATAAAATATTACAAGGTCCGAATGGAATACCCTTGAAAACAGTTGGAATGATCCACGTAATACTTCAAAATAAAGGCCAGCACTTAAACCAGAAAATATACATTGTTGATAAACTGAAACAACCACTTCTCTCTAGGGAGACAAACTTGAAATCAAATATTGTGAGAATGATTCAGCAATTATCATCAAATCCTTTTAACCCAAAAAGAGAGTTTCCAAAATTATTTAATGGTTTAGGACTTGCTAAAATAAATTACAAAATATCCCTACAACCTGATGCGAAACCATATGCCTTGTGCACCCCTAGGAGAGTTCCAATTCCCTTAATGAAACAGTTGAAGGAACAACTTGAAGAGATGACCAGGCTAGGAGTCATTGAATCAGTAGAAGAGCCAACTGAGTGGTGTGCGGGAATGGTTGCAGTACCTAAACCAGGAGGGAAATTAAGAATTTGTGTTGATTTAACAAAGCTAAATCAGTATATAAGAAGAAAATATTATCTACTACCGGCAACAGAGCATATCCTGGGACAGCTTGGAAATGCTTGCTATTTTTCCAAGTTATATGCAAATTCTGGATTTTGGCAGTTCGAGTTAGCTAAAGAATCCCAAAAACTAACCACTTTTATAACGCCATTCGGCAGGTTCCTCTTCAAAAGAATCCCATTTGGAATATCATCGGCACCAGAAATCTTTCAAAGAAAGATGACTCGACTTCTGGGCAAAATAGAAGGGGTGGTATGCTTCATGGATGATATTGTTTTATACGGATCCTCCTTAGAAGAACATAACGAAAGGGTACGCCAAGTTTTGAAGAAATTTCGAGAAAAAGGGATGACACTCAACCCAGAAAAGTGCCAATTTGGAGTTAAAACTATAAAATTCCTGGGACACACAATGAGTTCAGAAGGCTTATTCATTGACAAAGAAAAGCTCGACGCTGTTACAAAAATGGCAGAGCCTAGATCAGCAAACGAATTGAAGTCTTTCTTAGGCATGGTGAATTACTTAGGAAAATTCATTCCCAACCTTGCGGACAAAATACAACCTTTGAACTCATTATTAAGCACAAAAAAATGAGTGGGTTTGGGAAGAACCTCAGAAAAAGAGCTTTAATCTACTGAAGCAAGAATTGGCATCCAGACCTAATCTAGCCTTATATAATCCCTCAAGACTGACCATAATATCAGCTGATGCTTCCTCGTTTGGAATAGGTGGAGTCCTAAGACAAGAATAACCTGGTGGATCTTTAAAACCTGTAGCTTATGTATCTAGAACACTTTCAGAAACGGAAAGAATATACAGCCAAATTGAAAAAGAAGGACTGGCTATAGTATGGACTTGCGATCAACTAAAAGATTATGTTACAGGAATTAAAATCCATATTGAAACAGACCACAAGCCCCTGATTGCCATTTTTACATCCAAACCCTTGGAGGACATAACTCCCAGACTTCAGCGATTGAAAATGAGGATGATGATGTATTATCAAGGAAGCCTATCTCGAAACGGCATAATGATGAACTGGAAGAAGAACTTTCTGCGTACATCCAATCCATTGAATTTCCAGCAGCAGAAGATAGACTTCTGGAGATTTCGAGAAAGCAAAAGGAAGATTCACTTTGCTCTCAAGTGGTTAATTATTGTACAGGTGGATGGCCTAAGAACAAAAAAGAAGTAGATCCAGAAATAAGAGGATACTGGCAATTTCAGAACGACCTGACCTATCAGAATGGTCTTCTTCTTAGAGGACAAATAATTCTGATCCCTAGGTTAATGCGGAAAGAGATCCTTGAAAAATTGCACCAAGGCCATTTTGGGATCAATAAATGCAGATCTAGAGCAAAAGAGTCGGTATGGTGGTTGGGAATTTCCCAAGAAATTGAAAGGATGGTTTCGTCGTGTACAAAGTGCTTGAAGGAGAAAAGACCCAAGCATGAAGCTTTGATGTCCTCTGAATTCCCGATCAGACCTTGGCAAAAAGTCGGAATGGACCTCTTTTACCTAAATGGGAGATGGTACCTAATTGTTTGTGATTACTATTCCAGGTACCCAGAAATATCACTTTTACAAAATCTAACTGCTCAAGAAGTGATAAGCCGTCTTAAATCTATATTTGCTAGGCACGGAACGCCTGAGACAGTTAGAAGCGATAATGGATCCCAATTCCAAAAGGTTCTTGGTTCCGAATTTTAAAGATTTTCGAAGGAATGGTCTTTCAGGCACATCACCTCCAGCCCGAGATTCCCTCAAAGCAATGGATTTATTGAAGCAATCATTAAGAACATAAAGCAAAGTCTTAAGAAAGAAGACGATGGTACCTGACTCTTCAAGCATATAGGACGATGCCTCTGGAAAGTGGGTATAGTCCAGCTGAACTATTAATGGGACGACGCCTTACGACCTCGGTTCCCGCTATAGAGTCATCACTGATGCCAAGATACTTGGACTCCAAAGCCTTGCAAGAAAGAGAGAAAAGGAGGATGATCAACCAGAAGCGTCTATATGATAAACGACATGACGTACATAGCTTGCCTCAGCTTCAACAGGGAGACAGCGTTTGGATTAGAGATCAAAGGGTAGAAAGGAAAGCTCTACACAAATCCCAAGAACCTCGCTCCTATTGGGTACAAACTCCTCAAAGAAAAGTTAGGCGAAACAGGCTTCACCTCACACGCCTGCCAATTACGGAAAGTACCATGGGTGCTTCTGAAGATAGTAGGCGCCAGGAGCTGAGGAATGAGGAGCCCCCCCCCCTTCGACATCAACCGGGCATAGAAGGAAATGCAAGGACGACCAGGACCAGGAGACCGAGGAGGATTGCTCGACATCAAAAACCTCACCTACAATACTTTATCAAACAATACATCTATACCTCAGCGTTCCCTCTTGCGAGGCGAAGAATGGGCATTGTCTTATGGTCTAATACACCACCCATTATCTTCTTACCTAAAAATTGAGAAAGAAGACCATCAATCATCAATTCTAAATTCAAGATACCCCCAGCATGTAGGCTAACTGAAATCTCCAAAATTCTTCCTCATGTGTATAAGGCCTCGTCTCGCTAGATCTCAAATTCACCTCAAAAATTAAAGAAATCAAAATTATACTCCCTGAGGAGAGAAACTAACATTTTGGAGCGATTATTTCCTATTAATAGAGTTGTACAGTCCTGCGAGGCTTCCGATCCTAGCAAATAAAGAAATCAAAAGTAAACCGAGCCTATTAAATTCCCTAACCTTATTCTAATGTATATCTTTGGATTAACAGTATATTAAATTCTATCCTTGTGACGACATTCATTGCAAGAAACCATTCATACTCCCCCCCCCCCCTTCCCATTTCACAATCACCTTGCGCATCAATCCAAATTTTAGAATCTATTGTACAAACCAAAGTTACTCCTTTCTCATGATATAAATATACCTAAGATTAATGACATTTCAGGACTCATCATATGGGAAATCAAACATAAAAGAAAAAAAACTTGGGAACTATATTCCCTTTGATTATAATTACCCTATGCCTCATACAATCTCTTATCTAACCATTTATATTCAAGAAATGGCCAATAGTGCCTCATCTGTAAACTAATCCTAACATTTAAAAGAAAAGTGAGATTACCCTTGCCCTAACACTAGTTGTCATGGCAAAGATGGTTTAGTAAAACATTTACTTGTAAATAGAGCTATACTGGATCACCAAACTCAACTCTTAAAGCTTTTTGTCAACTTCTGATATCTCGTCAACCTCCCAGGGACTACTTCCTGTAGATCTACTTGCTGCTCTTATCCTGGTATCTGCTGTTGACAGGGCTGTACCCAGTTTTAACGTTGAACGCATTATAGAGTTTTTGGTACCCACCACTCTATATTAAAACTGGTATATTTCCAGCTAAACTCATCCTATCATCAGCATGTTACTATGCAGCATCTTCTCTCTGTCCCTTGGCTGAGATCTATCTGCCTCCTCTTCAGCTCCCACAATTAAAGCTTCTCATTGATATTTCTGCACTTATTAATTAGCCAATCCCGTTCATACCTTGGATATAGCGAATTAGAGGGCTTCAGGCTACCCAACACTGCTCCAAGGCCTGAATGGAATTGACTAGGATTTTATGCTTCATCAATCTTTAATTGTAAGAACTTGGCTTCTTGAGTAGAAGCAACAATCATCTTACTCTATTATTATTTACCTCCACTAGGAACCTTTAAAAAATACTGTTGAACTCACTTCAATCTTGCATCATATCTTGACACTGTAAAACGACACTTGAAGTTACACCGCATGAGTATCTTTTAAACGAAAAATCAAAATGTATTTCAAGGTGAAATATCGACTATTTCTAACCTTTTTGGATGAGGTATGAAAGGGTGAATTATGAAGAGTAATGATGAACGAAAAATAAAAGTGTCCAGGAATGGAAATCGAACCCACAATGTTCCGCTTACCAGGCAGATGCCATGTCCACTAGGCACCCATTCCAGGACACTTTTATTTTTCCGTTCATCATTACTCTTCATAATTCACCCTTTCATACCTCATCCAAAAGGTTAGAAATAGTCGATAATTCACCTTGAAATAAATCTTGTTTTTTCGTTTAAAAGAAACACATGCGGTGTAACTTCAAGTGTCGTTTTACAATCACAGGCCACAGTGCATTATATTGTTTATCTTGACACTAAAACAAAAAATATAACTTTAAAAAAATCTGGGACAGACTAGGAGATTATAATTTTGTTATTTAATATAACCAAAGACAATAATTCAGATGAACTGGAACATGTTTCACTGCATACACACCATTTACACAAGTTAGTGCATACAGTTTCTGCACTTCAGGCAAATCAGCCTATTTAATCTCTCAGTGCATATTTTATACAATTTACAAATATTGGCCTCTAGGCCAAAGCCAAAACAAATTATCTATGGATACTACAAGCTAAAGAGCCAAACTTGCTCTATGAAGATAATAGAAGAATCAGTAACTACCTCTCTTTCAACATTAATTATACTGTCATTCTTTCATTCTTCTATTGTCTTTTATCAACCTTCTATAATCTTACTATCATTTCTCACCATCTTTCTATTATTTTTCATTCATAATTCATCGCTTTAACATAATATTTATATCATCTTTCTTGCTATACACTACTATTATCAACTTTCTATAACCTCTCTATCATCTTTCCATCATTTATCTATCCTCCTTTTACCTTTCTATCATTTATCTATCATCCTTTCCATTTCCATCCCTCAGTAGTTCCCAACATGAAACCCTTCATCGGGATTCGGATCCCGATCTATTATCATTCTTCATTTAGAGTTATTCTGGTAGACTCCATCCTCCCCTGCCAGCTTCATGCTAACGTCTAACACTTGCGCAGGGTGGAAGATTAGCGGGCCGCCGCGAAAATTTCGAGGAAAATTCCTCAGGACTTGTTTTCATCCCCTTATCTCCCCTTGAGGAGATAAGCTCGTTCCGGGATGTATTGAAACCATGGCTAGCTATGGCGGTATACAAATAGAGCCGCTAGTGTCTCTGCTTTTACTTCATATCAGAATGGAAATATTAATTGGTATTAATTCTGCACCATCCTGATAGTTCATGATCTTTAAACTTTAAACACACTCGGCGAGATAGTCACCTTGTAAAACAAAAAAGGAAATATATAGCATTACGAATTAGTTAGAACATAATAAAATAAAGTCTGCTTAAATTACTATTTTGCTTATTGAGCTCATACAGATGCTAGATATGAACTAGATCAAATAGTGTAGTCTTCTTGTTTTTCGAATTATATGACAGCAAAAAAAAAAGCCTGGAAATATCTTACTGGTGTGCCCTGTGCTACACAGCAGCTACCATTGGAAAAAAATATTGGATGGAGTACAATTCTGGTTTTACAGGATAGCGGCTCATAGAATTGGATCGCTCTTTTCTTATAGAATATTCACACAGGGTATGGAAGTTTCCAGAGGTTTTACAGCTATTGGTCTACTAAATTAATGACATAATATACCTAGGTAAAAATATATATTATATATATTGTTGCATCATGATTAATGCGCGTATTTTAAAAATTATTTATAATATTATTTTTAAAATATTCAAAATTTAAATTATATATTTATTTATTTTATAAACAGATTATTACTATAAAATATTATGTACTATGAAACATTTGTATTTTGAGAGATACACTAAAATACCCCACCTGCTTTAAACTTTGATATGATAAATAAAGAGATATTCTAGATGCTACCTAAATATATAGTTGTCTTATTATTGACTGGTTTAACCTTGCAAGATGGTTGAGACACGTTCTGGAAAGATGCAAGACACGTCTGAGGAGAGACTCAAGACTGAAGAATCTGCCAAACCGCAGCCCAGTGCAACAATTAGTAGAGATACAAGTGCCGACCCAGTTGTCTTGAACCCCAACATAGACATCCCCAAATATGATGGAACAGAAGACCCTCGCCCATGGATTGAGTCCCTTGAAGAAATTGGCTTCCTGTACCATTGGGCAGAATATATTATTTATCGCTATGCAGCCATGAACATGATTGGTAGCGCCAAAACCTGGCTGGACCTACACAAGATAAGTTTTACCAGCTTGGAACATTTCAAGAGCCGCCTAATTCAGGATTTTGCCTCAGACGCCAACAAAGAAGAAATGAAGATGAGGATGAACAGAATGCAGCAGTGGAATGAACCTGCAATCAGGTTTGCAGAGGATATCCTGGTTCTGTGCAACAATGTCGACCCCCAAATGGAAGAAGAGAATAAAATAAATTGGGTTATTGGAGGGATAAAGAAAGAATACTCTTTTGCCCTCTACTTAAACCCTCCTAAGAATACCAACGAACTCCTAAGATTGTGTAAAAAGATGGATTTGTTTGAAAATAATTATCAAGAACGTATAGAAAAATCAAAGGCTCTATATAATGTACCACGCTCTCCTCGTTCCCATCATCAAGAGCAATGGAAGAACGCTCCGTCGTTCAGAAGACCAGACCAGAACACCTCCAAGCCCCAGGCCCCCGCTCCGAGGTACTACCAGAACACCCCCAAGCCCCAGGCCCCCGCTCCGAAGTACTACCAGAACAAGCCGCTGTCCCAGGTATCTGCCCCTAGACGATTTTACACTCCCAATCCTGAGCTAAAACCGGTCTACCCAAAGAAAACATACAATAAGAGTCCAGATTCAAACAGGAATAGGACAGAAGACGGGAGACCAATATGTTTCATGTGTAACAAGCCAGGACACGTAGCGCGGTATTGCAGAGTCAAATTTGTGAGGATCGTAGAAGAGGACCCCTCAGTTTCCCAAGACAAGAGTCAAGAAAATCTTCAAATGGACGAAAGAAAATATTATACACGGCCTCGCCTCTATGCGGATGTTTGTAATGACACACAAACGAATATTCCTACACGGAATAGATAGTCCGTGTTGGAAGATTTAAACTAAGTGTCGCGCCTGATTCCTTCAATCAAAGCAAGTCGACCATAAATGGAATTAGAAAGTTGGACCCTAGGTACAAAATTAATATTAGTGTGGACAAGATAGGGTTATGCGAAGCTTTGATTGATACAGGCACCGATCTTTCAGTGGTCGACCTAAGGACAGCACTTTTTGCTGGCCGTGAAATAAATAGTCTCACTAAAACGTGTTCAGGACCCGATGGGAAAAAATTAGATATGGTAGGTAGCATTATTTTAGATTTAAAAATTGATGACACTGAATTATCCCACGAATTTGTAGTAATGGGCGCGCATCTACGAACTCTTATTCTTGGACGAGATTTCCATAAAAAAAATGAATGCTTAAATTGATTGTAAACGAGAAACGATAAAATATAATTTGATGAGTAATCATGACGTAAGCAATTATGATCTAAAAAATAAAGAGCACTACAGATACCGTTATACCTAAACTATCTATTAAATTGATTAGGGCCTCAATAGTAGCATAGGATGGGGAATATGTCATCGAAGAGAACAACAGAATGACTCAAACAAATGGTCTTCGATTGGCAAGAAGTTTGTTTACTGTCACGGATAAGAAAACCCATATCTGGATAACGAACCCTTATCCTCGACCTTTAAAAATTATGAAAGACCAAACATTGGCTTATGGAAGTCTTCCTGCAGAGGTAAATTTTATAGAGAAGCAGAATGAAAATGACGAAATACAATTTCAAATAAACACACACACACACACACACACAAAAGCCTTTATTAAGACAC